AAGAATATGGGCGCCGGTCGGGATTTGTTTACGCCTATTTAGTCCTATCAGGATGTGCTCCGTGAGGCGGTGCACTTGTTGTACGCACGAGTGTTTAGAGAGAATCCGAACTGTTCGTCATATGAGAATTTTGTTCGCGGTAACAAAATCCCAGAGGCGTTTCCTAAGGAGCCGTTAGTAAATTTTTCCTATCGTCGGGAGGAGACTAATCGGACGGTGTGTTGCGTTTGGACAGGGGGCTGCTAATGAACGCACCGGGCGATTTTGGTTTAAACGCTTTCGTGATGGAAATTTTGATTTCAAGAATGAACCTCGTGGAAGACCGCTCACACATGTGAATAACAATGAATTTAAAGAGACGGTGGAAGCCGATCCGAGCCAAACTATCCGGAAATTAGCGGCATTGTTTAACGTTACCTTACCAACAATATTGACTCCTTTGCTTCAAATTAATAAAATAAAAAATATGAAAAATGGGTGCCTCATGATTTGACTGATCTGCAGAAAGACACACGTGTTGAAACTTGTGTTGCCTTGTTAAATCAATACAGAAATGAAGGAATGTTGGATCGAATTGTGACATGTGTTGAAAAGTGGATTCTTTACGATAACCGTAAGTTAAATATGCAAACTGCTGACCCCAGGTCAAACGCCGCAACAGTATCCTGAAGCAAAACTTACCAATAAAAAGGTAATGGTAACTGTTTGGTGGTCTCAGCATGGTGTTACTCACTATAGCTTTCTCCGATCTGGTCAAGCAATAACGGCATCTACTGTGCCTAACTCCGAACAATGATACCAAAACTTGCAGTGAAACAGCCCCGACTCATGAATCGATCTTCACCATTATTGCTCCATGATAACGCGAGACCTCATACAGAACGAGAAACAGTTTTGACTCTACAGGAATAACAATTAGAAACCATTCATAACCCTCCATATTCACCAGACCTTACTCTAACGGACTATCATTTTTTTCGTGATTTGGATAATTTTCTACCTGATAAAAAGTTTTCTTCCCAGGAGGCAGCACAAAATTCTTTCACATAGTTTGTAAAATCTAGATCACCAGAGTTCTATCGTAAAGGCATAAATGACCTTCCTATTAGATGGCAGCAATGTATAGATAATAATAGTACATATTTTGATTAAATAAATATGTTAAATAAAAATAAAAACGAATTTCAATTTTTCAGTACAAATGGGCTGTTTCATACTTTAACCCCTATTATATCTCTGCACAAAATCTGCTCTACCATGTGTTTATTGCTCATGCTGTAGTATAACTGCATGTTGTAGTATAACTGTATCTTGGAAGACAAGTTCTTGGAAGACTTGGAAGACTCAAGACTTGGAAGACTCTGAAGTCGTCGTGGCCTAAGGGATAAGACGTCTGGTGCATTCGTGTTGAGCGATGCACCTGTGTTCGAATCCCGGGCGGGTATCAATTTTTCTAATGAATTACGTACTGTACAAATGTTCACGATTGTCTTCCACAGTGAAGGAATAACATCGTGTAATAAAAGTGAAACCCGCAAAATTATAATTTGCGTAATTACTGGTGGTAGGACCTCTTGTGAGTCCACGCGGGTAGGTACCACCGCCCTGCCTATTTCTGCCGTGAAGCAGTAATGCGTTTCAGTTTGAAGGGTGGGGCAGCCGNTAGCCTTATTTGCTGACGACACAACCGTTTACTACTCAAGTAGAAAAAAGTCCCTAATCGCAAGTAAACTCCAGAGCGCAGCGCTAACCCTCGGACAATGGTTCAGAAAATGGCGCATAGACATCAACCCAGCGAAAAGCACAGCAGTGTTATTTCCCTATCCCTCCAATCCCTACAATTCCGCTTTTGCAGGTTAGCCGTTGGGGCTCCGTGGTTCGTGAGGAACGTTGACCTACACGATGACCTGGGCCTCAAATCAGTCCAGAAATACATGAAGTCAGCGTCGGAACGGTACTTCGATAAGGCTATGCGTCATAATAATCGCCTTACCGTTGCTGCCGCTGACTACTCCCCGAATCCTGATCATGCAGGAGCCAGTCACCGTCGACGCCCTAGACACGTCGTTACGGATCCATCAGATCCAATAACCTTTGCATTAGACGCCTTCAGCTCTAACACTAGGAGCAGGCTTAGGGACCCCGGTAACCGTACTCGTCGAACTCGACAAAGAGGTCGACGTGCAACCTAACCCATGCATCAGCCCGCTGAGTTTCTCGCCGGATCTTCTCAGTGGGTTGCGATTTCGATCCGGTAGTAGATTCATTCACAAAGCAATTGCTCTTGAGTTGTTAGGTCTCCTTTGGAGGTGCTCGGGCAGTTGTTAGCAAATCCCTCCCCTCCTGGCTGAGCCTTTGCTCGCCCTCATGTCCTGGTGAAACTGGAAAGGCCACCGGGCCACCAGTAATATTTCAATCATAAAAAAAAAACATTACGTAGAATTAGTTACTAGTTTTATTATTTAAAAAAAGCTGTACCACTCTACAAACCTAAATAAATGTTTTTCGGTAAATATTGTAAGGCTGCTGACAGGATCCTCATAAGTCTTACCACCAGATTTTTGTAGGACAGAAATGTTGAAAAAGTGGCCCTAATTTACTTAACTAACTAATACTTTTAATATGAATGATCGACTGGTGGTTGGTGGATGGTAAAAGAGGTGGATGAGGAGAGTCGAAGACTGGGCTCAGTGATGTAATTTGGGACAGGCTTATGTCCAAGAGTGGACGACTGTGGACTGATGATGATGATGATGAATGAGCGATAAGCAACAACATATACGCACGAGGACAAGATTGTTCAGGAACACATAAGCCATTTTCGTCGCGTAAGTATCCCTCTTTACAAATGCAACCTTTCTTGCAATTCTTAGGATTAATCTTAACGCAAGGTACGGGTCTGCCTAATTGTGTACAGTTTTTCGCATTACAACCGCCGTTTGTACAATCGGAATACACTTCATCGGGACCGCATATTGAAGCTAAAAAACAAACAATGAAATTTAATTAAGGCTTGGTCGAAAGTTAAGATTATTATTATTATTGAAGTGAAACTTCTAATGGGACTTCTAACAAGGTTGCGTTACACGTTGAACGCTACCATACTAGAAAGAGACAGACCAACAGTGAATGCGTAGCACTCGAACGCATGCGCGTAGTAAACCTGTTACAGGCCAGCGCGAGCGTTAGCAACGAGTAGCGTCCAATATTTCAATGAAGTATTTAAAAAATATATATAATAATATATATATTTTTCTAACTATAATTTAACATATTTAAAATATTAATGTTGAAGATTTCGCATCTATTATACACAGCATTCCCTATTATAAGAGGAATCTGATTAAAGGATAAAAAATGAAGAAAACCACATTACTACACATCGAAAAAGAAGTTTCACTTCATTCACGTGCACCAAGTGGCACACGCACCGTTTTTTTTTATTGGATGAAATTTCCAAAAGGGGTCTCAAATAAAAAAATATAGTATCCCAATGTTCAGAACGAAATGGTTGTAATTAATTGTAGCAACGGTGATGACGATAACGTTGTTATATATGTTGACAATATAAATGATAGTAACGTATTACGTTATTCCTTCTTAAAGTATTCGAGGCGATGATGATGTAACGACAATGTAAATCTACGCACGGCATTCGTTAGGAAGCACACATTTTCCGGTGTTTTCATCGAGATAATACCCATCTTTGCAATCACAGGCGTTGACACGGCAAGCTAAAGTACAAGCTTTTGTTTCATTTGCACCAATATCGGAGCATTTTCTGTTACAATTACTCCCACAACCGGCTCTTGCGTTAGGATCTCCTCCGCATGTTTCTATAAAGGATATTATATTGTTTTAGTTTATTTTATCATCCCTTGAACCTACTAGGTTTTTGTTCTGCATCATCCTTGCTTCGCTGGTAAAGGATGCCGATGGCATTAAGCTGGGCAATTTGTATTTGTGTCTGTGAAGTTTCATAAATAAATATTTCTGCATTTTTAAAACAAAGAACCTTAAGATTTCAGTTCTGTCCATATTGTGTTAAGATAGACAATAATTCCAAATTCTCCTGAAGGAAGGAATTATAAGCTTTGGGCACTATTACAAATGACCTAGACTTACCACATTCTGACTGTGGTATACAGGATCCTACGTCATTTCTCAAATACCCGTCGATACAGACACATCCCGGACCACCAGGACAACTACCGTCTTGAGTTTGCTCAGGGCAGCCTATTGCGAATCCGAGTTGAGAACAATTTTGTGCAGTGCATGTATCAAATGGGCATACTTCGTATCGTTCGTATTCTCCGCACTCTGTGAAGATTTTCATCGTTAAACATGCACCATTTGAAAACTGTGGTCTATTTTGCTTCCTGATTAAATAAAGGAAGAGGACTTCGTTGGAAATGAATTTATGAATAATACCGAGTTAAAAATTTTCGATTCCTCAACTTTTTTAAATCCAAACTTTTTAAGACCATCTAGGACAAACTAGACTTCTTCACTTTCAGTGTTATATTCATATACAGCTCTTACTGCAAAAACTTTTTTCACTCCTTTTTTCAAGGACACTATAGCATCGACATTTCAGAGTTGCATTGTGGGTGGCAAAAATTGTCTCAGAAGATAAAATGAAATGAACCCAATGATCCTAGGTGGTAGGATGTTGCCGTAAAGTTAATATAAAATGATGGAATAATCTCAAATTTATGTGTGCATCGATATTTTATATTATATTCTCTTAAACTTACTACAACTTCCTTTTGATATACAAATGCCTTGTTTGTTTCTATAATAGCCAGGTATGCAACGACATGAACCCTCGCACTTTTGGCCACTTTTAGCGTCTGGGATATATTTTCCGTTTACAATACGTTGTTTGGGACAAAAATATTTTCTTTTAAGACTGTCGCACGTTTGTGGTGGGCAAGGCGCTGGACAGTTATCATATTCTTCATTTTCTCCAGTACACACCACAGCTAAATAAATAAAATATATATGCAAAAGATAAAAAGGCATCAGCCAATTTGAATTCAAATTTAATCAGTTTCGTATTCAGCTTTTAACTTTACTTATAAAATATTATACTAACAGTAGACAAGTCAGTGAACTGAAATTTAGTAACAGAATTTGTTAAGCTTTGATTACTTACGAGATTCTTCTCTGGGAATACAAACATCTGTATTATTCCTGACGTAACCGTCAATACATCTACAGCCGGGCTCGCAACCTGGATCTCCGATTTTAGGCGACGGAATACAATTCACTGTGGCTGGGTCTATACCGCATATTCTTGGAGGACATGGGGCAGGACATAAATCGAATACCTCATTCTGATTACATTTGATTTCTAAAAAGAAATATCAACGTTCAACAACTTTTTTGTTATAAGCTTTTCATTGTTATAATTTTACATACTGCACTGTTTCTTCGTAACGCATGTACCCTGTTCGTTACGATAATAATTGTCAGCACATCGACATCCCGGCTTGCATGCAGGATCCCCAGGCTTGGGTGGAGCAGCGCACCTTATCGTGCGTTCATCTACGCCACATACTCTGGGTGGACATGTTTTCGGGCATTCGTCGAATACTTCATTTGGTTTCGTACATTTCGAAGCTGAATCGATAATTATTTACATTTTTTTTATTGCTTAGATGTGTGGACGAGTTCACGGCCCACCTGGTATGTCTGGTTAAGTGGTTACCGGAGCCCTATACATCTAAAACGTAAATGCCGCCACCCACCTTGAGATATGAGTTCTAAGGTCTCAGTATAGATACAACGGCTGCCCCACCGTTCAAACCGAAACGCATTACTGCTTCACGGCAGAA